CATGGAAATCTGTGGAAATTGGATAACTCTTTTCTATGAGACCATGTAACCAACTTTTGGCATAGTAGTTCCCTAAACAGGGTCAATATCAATGATTAGATTTTTATAATGAATTATAGTCACTCTGAAGTACAATAATCACTTCAAATTAGAATCCCAGATAATCGTTCCATACAGCCTGATTGGAATACTAGGAGTTTATAAATATCTTAGGGAGGCATTTGGGCTAAATTGTTGTTTTATTCCCTTCATTTGCTTAAAACTGAATAACTAAATTAATTTGATCAGTTTGTCTTAAAAACTAGTTTAGTTGTAATTTTCACAATCTCTGGGTTCTATTCTATACAGCTAATAACAATAGTGCACAAGTAGGTGAACAGTTTTTATCTTTCTGATTCAGGCTTGATTTCTTCACTCTCATTTTTAAGTCTATCTTCTTTTCTTCGTATGGTTTCCCCAGAAACTGTTTGTAGATAAGGTAGGAATGTACTAATTGGCATGACATATCGTATAATTTATGGGATACAAAGGAGCAAGAAAAAATATATTGACATTATTTCCTTTTTTGTGATTCTTCTCGAAACAATGACAGTAGAATTGAACTATTCTTATAATTTTCATCTATGGCTTATTTATATACATTTACCATTTTGGTCATTTAGTAAATATATATTTTCACAAAATATATATTTTCACAAATATAAAATGATTTGACCATGTCTAGAGCCACAGAATCAGGGGAGTGCTCTCATTCTGATTCCCTCAGAATGCCACACACAGCTCAGAGTTTACCACTGTCTTGCTTTTGTCCTCATGCTGCCAAGAATGTGTTTAATGTTTTATTAACGTGTAGGATTCTTCTGATTGTTAAACCTGCATTAGGGTAGAGTCTGAGACCAAGATTTCCTGACAGGCCTCCTACAGAGCATGTCACAAATGATGGCAGACACAGTAATGTTCATAGCAATATGGCAGCTGCCAGAGGGAAGCAAATAATAAGCTCTAAAAATGCCAATTTTAACTTAAAAAGAAATCTATAATTCTCACAAGGTAAGAACTCTGCCTCGCCACAGAATTCTCAGAACAATATGCTGAGGAATATGGATTCATGTGCCCTTGAAACGGATTCCGAACATGTCTGTTTTAGAAACAAAGATCATTTAAAACCTTCTTTTGTTTTGGCCTCTAAGTTCTAATCAGACAGAAAGTGGCACATTTTGGAGAGGTGGTTTGCTTTTGAGCCAATTACCAGTATCAATCCTGTGGGGAACTGACCTTTGCAAAGAAATTTTCAAACAACGCATAAAGGTGTCTCAATGGTAATCCCTTGCTAGACAGAACCTTAGTAGAGTACAGGATGTTTAGAATTTTCATGTCTCACATAAAAGAATATCATAATGCTATGGATGAGTCTGTCAACTAGGGTTCATTAATTCTGATCACAACTATATTTTAAAATCCTTAAAGCCCAAAGTGACTACAAAAAATGTAACCAGTTTCATAGATAAATCTCCCCATGTTTCATGAAGTATAAAGTATTTTGCTCAAATGTTTCAAATTGTGTATTTTTTCTATGTGCCTTTCATTTTAATGAATGTTTTATATTTGTCATTTTTTAGTTTTTCAAAGGGACTGTACAAATCCGTTTTTAAACATACGTGTATGTGCATTTTCTTTAGACGATGTTCTTAGATCTAATTAGGTTTGCTAAAGAATCTGTAACAGCCAAAGTTGAACAAACACTAGAGGAAAATATTCCATTTATACTTAAATACTATTGGTATTTCTGCTGTTCATATTCAATAAAGCCCTTCTTTCTGGTTTTATTTTTGTATAATAGTATAATGCAATCATGCTTAAGACTATAGTGCCTGGAATCTGACTGTCTGGTTTTGAACTCTCATCACATATCTGTGCAACTTGGACAAAATTACTCACATTTTTGGATCCACAGTTTTCTCATTCATAAGCTGAGGGTAATAGTGATATGTCTTTTTATGTGATATTTTTGAGGATTAGATGAAGTGATGTATGTAAAGAACTTAGCTCAATGCCTGGTATATGAAGAAGTTGATTATTTGCAGGGTCTGGAGGTGAAATTTTACTGAAATGTATGCTAGAACTTTAAAATGAAAAAAATTAGATTTATCATATTTCTGTTACTGTCATTTTTCTCCTTTAGCATTCCATCTTTGTAAGTTTCCAGTGACCTTTACCACTAAAGTATCTACTACTCATTCCTGTAACACCACCTGGGACTTAACCAACACGCAGAACTGCACTGTTCTGTAGTCATAAATTCAGCCACTTTACTGCCTAACTTCAACTTAAATTCTTTCCAGCCATCTCCTCATTCATTTATTCTACTGTAAATGCTCCTCGAATTCATAGGACAACCCACTTGCTTCTCTACTCCTTCTCTACATTTCTTTCCCTTTCTTTCTTTCCTTTTTTTTTTTCTTTTTTTTTTTTTTTCATTTCTGGCTGTCAACTTTATTCCCCTTATGTTGTGCATGTGAGCTTAAAGCATAAGCAATTTACACTGGGCTCTCTTTTTTAAATTTTTTTTAAGTTGATTTANTTTTTTTTTTTTTTTTTTTTTAGAGAGAGAGAGGGGGCAGCAAAGGGGAAGAGAGAGGGGAGAGAGAGAATCCAAAGCAGACTATGTTGTCAGTGTGGAGCCTGGTGCAGGGCTAGAACTCACGTCACAAGCCATGAGATCATGACCTGAGTTAAAACCAAGAGTTGGGTGCTTAACCAACTGAGCTGCCCTGGCACCCTATGCTGGACTTTCTGAATGCTGCTATGGAAAAATGAATAAAAAACAAATAGCAATTTGGAAATCGGTCAAAAAGTTAATAAAAACTGCCAGAAAGAATATTTTACTTAAATACTATTTATTTATTTATTCATTTAAATTAAAAAAAATTTTTTTTTAATTTTTAGAGAGAGAGCACATGAGCAGAGGAGAGGGGCCGAAGGAGAGAGAGAGAGAATCTTAAGCAGGCTCCAAGCTCAAATGGACCCTGGGATCATGACCTGAGCCACAATCAGGAGTCTGAGGCTCAATCATCTGAACCACCCAAATACCCCCTAAATACTGTTTTTAAAATGTTTAAGTTTAGACTACTCACACAACTTCATTTCATTTTTGTTGTTGTTCTTTAAATGAGACATTGTGGGGTACCAGGTGACTCAGTCAGTTAAGCATCCAACTTTGGGTTTTGGCTCAGGTCACTATCTCATGGTTTGTGAGTTTGAGCCTTGTATCTGGCTCTGTGCTGATGGTATGGAGTCTGCTTGGGATTCTCCCTCCCTCTCTTCCTGCCCCTTCTCAGCTCACTCTCTCTCTCTCTCTCAAAATAAATAAATATTTTTTAAATAATTTAAATGAGACATTGTATTTTAACTAATTTGTTTTCTTTTATTCCAGTTTTATTTTAGAATGATTATTGGTTGAATGGAAAAATTAATTCATACATGAATGCATTTGGAGTGCAGCATAGTAATTTGGAAACCTAAAAATGATCAAGTTCCATAGAAACCTGGTATTTTTTATTTTGTCATTTTCTTTTTTAATTTTTTAAAATATTTATTTACTTTTGAGAGAGAGAGAGAGAGAGACAGAGCATGAGCAGGGGAGGGGCAGGGGCACACACACACACACACACACATACACACACAGAATCTGAAACAGCCTTCAGTCTCTGAGCTATCAGCACAGAGCCCAGTGCGAGACTTGAACTCACCAACTGTGAGATCATGACTTGAGCTGAAGTTAGACACTCAATTGACTAGAGCCACCCAGGTGCCCCTTCATTTTGTCATTTTCAAGAAAACATTCTAGAATATCTGAGCTTTAATATTTATAACAAAGAAAACTTGGATGAGGATCTATCTATATCTTTATCGATCCTCTATTTTGAGTTATGTTTGGTATTATGATCATAAAGTAGTCTAAGATTAGTATACAACTTTCATGCATGTATAATTAAACCCTCCCCAACTTCCTCCTTGAAAGAATAAGAAGTAAGTAATCACTGTAAGTAAGAAGTAAGAAGAAGTAATCACTGAGTAATTCTGTGAATTTGAGTCTATATGTTATCTTTGTCTAATTATTTGTACTGATTATCTCAAAACAATGTATCTCATTCATCTCAAAAAAATTTTTCAAGCGTCAACAAAGGGAAATAAAAGGGATTTCCCCAAACCTAATAAGCCTCCAGTACAGTGTATTGATGGCAAATAGTTTGTGGAATCAATAAAACTGGCTGCACAGTAAACAAGTTATATAACCATTCTGGTCATTTGGACATCTGGAAACCTATCTAACTTAGAAATTGTTGAGAAGTGTGCTGTGGTACTATGTTCAGATTTCCTCTGGTGTTGCTAAGATGCACAGTGCTTCCACTGGGTTTCAAACACTTTTTGTGTCATCTGCCCAATCTCAGAGACATTTCCTCTGAGCCTAAACTCCTTTATTTAAGTAAGTATTTCTCATTTATCTTTATTACTAATTACGGACTACAGGCTTTGGTTGTATTTCTTCATATATGAGATTTTCAAAAAAAAATTTTTTCAGTATTCATTGTAGAAAACTATGAAGACATCTCGGTGACAAAGACTTTTTGAACAATTCGTGTTCTACAGAAAATTATTTTTTCATTTGTCTTTTTTAATATGTATTTATTATTTTGAGAGAGAGATCATGAGCAGTAGAGTGGTGATTTTTTAAATGTTTATTTATTTATTTTGAGAGAGAGAGAGAGACCATGAGTGGCAGATAGGCAGAGAGTGAGGAAGAGGGAGAACCCCCAAGCAGGCTCCCTGCTATCAGTACAGAGCCTCCTGCGGAGCTCAAACCCAAGAACTGTGAGATCATGTCCAGAGCTGAAATCAAGGATTGGACACAACTGACTGAGCCACCCAGCCACCCCTTCTTTTCATTTGTTGAATATCATGGAATAATCACATTATCTAAAGGTAGCAATATTAAATCATTACAGTTTCAGATTATTAGATTTTATAATATTTACATATTAAAGATCCCTCTTCAAAAATCTTACTGCAAAAATACAAATAAAAACATATGTATCAGTACAAGTTATGTAAATAAAAATTTTAAATATTCAACCTAAGTATAAATACTTCAAATGTCTCCTAATATATTTGTTTATAATTCTTTTCCTGCCATCAATGCATTAATTTCCAAATTTCTATCGAATTGGCTAAAATAATGTTTTCCCTGTACAACAGATTTTCAGCCTAATAGGGAATATCATACAGCTCTAAACATTGTATGTTTTATTCAGTTTTTGGGTTTTTTTAAACCACATCCTTTCCTGCTAATGCATGAATCTACTTGCCTTTGCAGTACCTCCCAGGAGCTTCAGTCTATTTTTCTTGGTTTGTTTTTTAAAATAACTTTTGTAATTAACATCCATTGTTCAAGACAAAATAGATAACAGTTTCCATTCAGTCAGAAACCAATAGAATAAAACTGAAGGAACGTTGGCATATTGGTAGTGCACTGAACTTGAAGTTGAATTCAACTCAGAATCACACTGTACTCATTCTCGTGACTCCTAAGTCTCCTTTGTGTCTGGTAAAATCAAAAAAGTCAAAGCATGAAATAGTGTGTTGTCTTTTACTGTCATCACACATAAACTGATCCTGAGAATTTTTCAAGTTCTGTAAGTTACAATTGGTTACAAAGATTAATATTATCACTTCATATTAACTATGATATAAATGAAACATGTTTTCTCATCCCAACCTACCACACCCACCTTTGTACAAGACTAATGTCTATATAATTGATTATTCTTCTTGCCAATACTTTCTATTGCTTCCATTTCCAATCAATATCATAAAATTGTTTCGGAGCGTTTAGTGTTGCTTTTCTTGTTGAAATTCAACATTTCTTCTTTCAGTTTAATGCTGAGACTTTTCCTGTAGAATTGGTGATTTGGGGAAAATGTGTCTGAGGGGAATAAAAAGAAAATCAGGGAAGAGTTTTGATGAAACAACATTTTGAAGGAGTAATAAGGAAACCATAAAGTCAAAGCTTATTTTCCCTGGAATTACCTCTCATCTTTTCATTAATGCGGATGTGTTTTGGCTTTAAACAACCCAATCCTACTGAGAACCAGAGAAGAAAACTGTAAGTTCAAAAAATCAAACCAATGGAGGTTCAGGAATTAAACTAACTCTTAGGGATGAACAGAATCTTTGAAAACCCTGGTTCTTTTCCTATTGAATATCTGTTTCTCTCGTCATGTGCCTTTCATTCTTTCAGAATTACACCTCCTAGCATTTGCAGATAAAGCTCTCAGAAGCCTTCTGATTAATACTTGTTGATCTTGTCATTGAATGAAATGCAGTACCACAATCTTTAATCCCACACTTAGTATTATTAAAGAGGTTCAGATTTGGTTAGGTGTCTGTCCATCCTGGAACTAAGCAATTGTGACCTGAGTGCAGTGTGGATCACAAGTGGATCTGTAGACCAATGAGGTAGCCAGGAAAGCAGTGGAAAAAGAAAAAAAAATACACTGAAGCTGCTATGAACATGAAATTGTTGAAGTTAGGCCATGTCTATTAATCAGAATGGAAGGAAGAGTACTCAGCATTAAGTTGTTTAAGGTGTAGCATGACAAACTTTGTTCATCAGATTTTTCAAAACTGCACTGATTGCTGCTTGCTTTCTTGTTTGCAATAGAACTTCATTCATAGTCATTTTATGCCTTTACAGAAATGTTCATATAGCCTTATGTGATCTTACATACCTGTCTCCCCACAGTGTGAGCTACTTAAGTTTATACCATGTTTTATTTACCAATGATTACAGTAGTTCAGGCATATTCTAGCTTCATGCTTCACATTTTTAATGAATAAATGAACTATCCTATACAGTTTGATATAAGTACAATTTATGCATCCTTATTTGTTCCTTTCCCCATCTCTATCCTACCATATTATCATATTAAGTGCTTTAAGTCAATTTTTTCATAACAAATATCTAGATGTACTATTATATTTATCTGCATTATTTTCTTCAGTGCACTGCCCACTCTCCTAAATTATCTAATTTTTATACACATTCTTGTTTAATATCTGTTTCTCCTATTAAAAGGATGAAGGTTTTATGATATTGGGGCCTTGTCTTACTTAACTGTATTCTTAATACCTAAAACACTATCAGATCTGTGGCAGGTGTTTTCAATATGATAAATAATACATAAGAAATCCAGTATAAATCCTAGCCTTCAGAGATTATTGTTTTATCTTGGATAAAAAGCCTGGTAATTAAGCACATGAAATTTATAGTGAGCACTGAAATGTCCATAAAATTATTTCTTAGTAGTATAACCTAGAAAACTTTGATATAGTTGACATTGAATGAGCCTGGGAAAATGGATTGGATTTGTTGTGTAGGTGGAACTAAGGGTGAAAGAGAATGCCAAACAGAAGTATCAACATGAATATGTGGCAGAAGTGAGGCTGGAAGGCACAATATTTAAAAGATTTAATAAGGAAGTAGGATATTAGCAGGTGGACCCAGAGAATGAGATTGGAAATGGTTTGAGACAAAGCCTTGGAGAATTTTGAACTGCAGCCAAGGAGACTGCGTTTCTTTTTGAAATGCTGAGGAAGCATTGGTAATTTTTGATCAGATAACAATGAAGTCATTAGAGACTTACCACAAGACAACTGTTAGAAACAAGATGAAAGGTAATAAAAGTGTGAACTATGAGGGAAGGAAAGTATGAAACTAAGGAAGTTTGAGAGGAAAGATACATCATATTTTGTAGGAAGTCCAAGGATATCTGAAGCTACCCAGAAGCAGGAACTGAAAATTTGGGACTGGAAAACACTTAAGTCAAGGCTAGAAGCACAGATTCAGCAATCATGTCAAATGGAGGTAAAAGTGAATTCAGATCTGGTGAGATGGTTCAGATTAGACTAATGGAGAAAGATGACAAGAAGACTTAAAATAGGTCCATGGAGAATTTCTATTTATTAGTATTCTTCATAGAGTAATAGATAGTAAGGTAAGTTAAATGTTTTTGTAATAAATAAGATTTTATAATCAGAAAATGATTATTATAAAATAACACAAATGTCACATAGTGGTAGATGTCATATTTGACTTTATATTCTTTCTTCCAAAACAACTTGCCTTTATGAAAAATTGACAAATTTTTTTATTGACATAAATTCTTTATTTAGCAATGACAACCAGATAACTCACTTGTGGGTGCTATGTACTAAGTCGGTCAATTCTCTCCTCCCCAATTCCCCACCTTCCATGATTAAAATAACTTGCTGAAGCTGACTGCCAGGCTTCCATATATTCTAATATGGATATTAGAATATAATATGATACACACTTAGAGTTTCTCTTAATTTTCTATGGAAAATCAATTCATTTGTTCATTTAGCAAGTAAGTAATGATTATCTATAATGTGCTTTTTCTCATTGATTGTAGTTTATTTGCTTACCAAACTAGACACTTACCACCTAGAGGAAATACACACAATTTATTCTAAAACACTTGGATTTCTTCAAGGTTAATAAAGTCATTCTTAAAACTAGCCAACTGTAGTTTGGGGAAATTTTAAAATTGTTTTGAGGGTACAAATGCTGAGAAATTTATCATAAGATTGTGACACTAATGTGAGAAAATTGCAAGGAAGCTTTAGAGGAAGAAATTTCTATTTCCTTACTTACTCAAAATATTTATCCCAAGAATGTGTGGAAATGAATGAATACTTACAGAAATAGAAATTGGAATGTTTATGGCAGGGAATAAAGAGAACACTCAACCTCATTTGCATGCTATCATGTTTATATTTAAAAACATTTTATGTCTGTCCTTTCCTGCTTTTCTCCCTGTGTCTTTTGACAGTCACATGCTTTAAATTTTCAGTTTTAAAGTTTTCATTAAAAATGTTATTTTATTGTTATGAGTTGCTTTCAGAATAATGCAGTAAATTATTATATATAGTATCTTCATTAGTGTTAAAGAGTTGCAAAAACTTGGTAAAAATTAACTAACAATGTATATATCTATATATGTGTGTGTGTACACATATATATATACACACACACACACAAATATATATATATACTATATATCTTCGTGTGTGTGTGTGTAGTTATGATAAAATCTGGAGTGAAAATAGCACTTTCTTCACTCTTCCCTAGCCCCTACTCCCACACCCTGGGCTAACCATTTTCAAATATTTAGTTCTTATTCCTGGTATTTATTTTCATATTTACCAAGAGTGTGCCGAATTAGTAACTTGATTAACATTTTACATTAGTTATAAGTTCCTGTTAAGGAAGGTGAATTTTTATAATACCACCTCTCCCTCCCCTACAACTCCCTGCATATTACTATGTATAGTTATATGAGTATTTTTTATTTAAATCAACAACTTTTTTATGTTGACTATATAATTACATTATTTCTGCAACAATATTAAGGCACAGTTAGGATTTTTTTAATATAAATCCTACCGATTTTTCTGGCATTAGTGATTACCTTGTGTTTTCACTTATTTGGCTTTCTTTGTATCTTAATTTAATTGCTTCCATATACTCCATCAGATATGCTAGATATCTACCAATGTAATTTTTAAAGTGTCTGAACATATTAGATAATCAGAGGTTTTTCTTCCTCTCAGGAGCTCCCTTCTTCCTGAAGGAAGCTTTCTGGCTGTTCTCATAGCTGATGGCACAGTTATCATTCTGATATTTTCTTTACCTAATTCTAGATCATCCTTTGTCTCTTTTTGGCATTTCCTGTTCCCTAGACTTTACATTTTACAGTAGCTTCGTATCAAAGGGAGGATGGAAAATAAATATGTATCATGAATGTTTGTATTGCCCCAAATGTCTTCTTTTCATACTCTTAAACTCGACTGATACTTTTTTGAGTACTTAAAATTATTTTTCTTCAGAAATTTTAGTCCAGTTGTGAATGAGAACTCTGATGTCATTTGCATTTGTTTACTGATTTGCAATATGACTTCTCTCTGGTTTTCCCTATATTTGTTATGTTCTAGGCTTCATAATTAGGTGCCTTAGATAGTATATGTCTTATGTATCATTTCATGCATTGTGTTGGGCTTTGGGTACACATTAGGATAGACTTTTCTATGTGGAGACTTCTTCAGTTGGCAATGTAACTTTTTTAATTTATTTTTTATTATGTTATTTATTCTGAAAGACACGTGTGAGTGGGGGAGGGGCAGAGAGAGAGGGAGACCGAATCCAAAGCAAGCTCCAGGCTCTGAGCTGTCAGCACAGAGCCTGAGGTGGTGCTCAAACTCATGAGTGTGAGACCATGACCTGAACCCAAGTCCGATGCACAACCGACTGAACCACCCAGCACCCCTCAGCTGACAATTTTAAAATACTAGCTTTTATAACAATTTATGTGTTTATTTATTATTTGTTCTTATTTGTTAAACTGTCCAATGAGAACTCCTGAGTTGATTCTTTAAATTATTTTAACTTGTCTTTTTTCCATTTTATTTTTTGTTTTATTCTTTTAAATTGTTTATACATTATCTTCTGATCCTATTGGTTTTTTGTTTTGTTTTGTTTTGTTTTTTTTAGTGTTTATATATTTTTGAGAGGGAGGAGACAGAGTGTGAGTGGGGAAGGGGCACAGAGAGAGGGAGACACAGAATCCAAAGCAGGCTCCAGGCTCCGAGCTGTCATCACAGAGCCCGACACAGGGCTCAAACTCACTAACTGAGAGATCATGTCCTGAATTGCAAGATTATAGCCTGAACTGAAGTTGGATGCTCAACTCACTGAGCCACCCAGGCGCCCCATTCTGATCCTAGTGTTGAATAATTTTGTATGCTAATAAAGTTTAAATTTCCAAAATCTCATTATTTTTTAGTGATTGTTTATTTTTATGTATTTCTATCATTACTTTATAAATGCAATATTTGCCTCACTTT